ATTTATAATTTATTTTTTCTTTATCTGAACTTAATATGCCTAATGTTTAAATTTAATGTTAACAGTAATGATACAAAGGCTGGACTTAAGGCTGCTGCTATTTGGTTGGTACTTGGTAGTAGATTGATGAAAATTATGTGAGGTATTTTTTCTGAAGTACTAAGAATGTTCTTACTCCGTGCTTAAACTAAGGTTTATTACGCATTTTCCATTAAAAATAGTATTTGGCTGTCATGTGTGATTGCACATTTAAGCTTATATTATATGCCCTAGATTTTGACTTTTGGTATTTTTGTAGCAGTTCGACTTTTTAATTGTTGAATTAAGGAATTTAGGTAAGTAAAGATTGATTTTTTGCTATGAATTCTAGGTATGGGGACAAACAAAGTTGGTTGAGCAACAATGATATAGACAGTATGCTAGATGACTTTCTTATCCATAAACTTTCTTTCCTTAACTGTCCAAATATTTAGCAGTTGGAACTTATTAGGTTTATGCACTCACTACTTGTTTTGTGCCTACGTTACTGATGGAACTATTCGGATGTACAGAAGGTTTCACAGCTCATTGCACCTGCTATGGCCTTCGAAATTAGGAAAAGGGATTCTGAGAAGGTTTCTCAGAAGCATATTGCACATAGGAAGTCCATAGATACATTTAGGCAAAGGACTTCGCAGTATAGAGGCGTCAAAAGGTTAATTCTTGTTCCTTCTGTTTTCATCTGCTATTCTTAAACCGGTGCACTCTTTGATTGTGATATATGGCATGTTTTTCTTTTCAGTTTACATTTTTCCCTCAACATATTTTCTCAGGTAATTAAATGTGAAAACATCTTGGTTTATGGATATTTCTTACACCAGGCACAGATGGACAGGTAAATATGAAGGCCATATGTGGGACAACAATTGCAGGAAAGAAGGTCCAAGGAGAAAAGAAGGGCAAGGTTAGTGATGAAACACAATCTATTTTTATAACATTTGGTAGATCAAATACCATTAAAATTTTGTCACTTGTTCTTGATCTGATTTTCTTTTTTTAATGATCTTGGTCCAGGAGAGACAACATTGTCATCTTCAAAACCTTTTTCCAGTTTATCTAGGTAATTTCTTCGTTGTTTCATTTCAGTTTTTTGTTCCACAGTGGCTCGAAAATTAGTATGTTATAAGCATAGTTTTTACATTTTTGTTTGCCTTTGTGATCTATGAATGAAAAATTTATGGGGCTCTAATATGGAAGAAAAGGCTACAAGGACTTATGATTTGGCAGCACTAAGTAATGGGGACTTTCAACCCATATCAATTTTCCTGTAGCAGTTTTAATATTACACAGTTTGCACCAACAATTGCAAACGGTATGCAACTCTCTTTTACCCATAGTTTGTATCAATCTCTTTGTTCTGTTTCCCTTGTTTGATCTATTATGTTCTACCTATATTTGATATTCACTTGTGTTGAAAAGTAGTAAAGTAATACATACATCTAGGATTTGATTAAATGCAATCTGTACATTGTAAAAAATGGGTTTTGTGTATTTTGATGTTTGAAGGGGAATAATTTGAGCACTTATTTCTATTCCAGAAGTAATTACTGTAAAAAAAAATGGCATTCCCTGTGTTTGTATCTTTTTATGTGAAGAAAACTGAAATGTGAATCCATTTTTAGGAAAGAGATCATATAATAATCGAAGCTTACATCATATTGGAAGTGGTTTAAATCCATATGAGCATGGAGAACAAGATTACCAAGGATTTATCTGAAGATGAACTGATTACTCTCCATGAGGAAGTCTCCAAGTACATGACTGAAGGAAACCTCGTAAGTATTCTGATATCTTTACCTTATTATCTCTGTTTTGCTACTTATTAATTTTCTATGAGTACTCAAATTTACAATGTAGATTGGTTTTGGGTTTAAATGTACATGATTGTTTTGATACTTACCAAGGCTTTACGCTTGTGGGTGAAATATGGGGTTTAAATCTGTTTAATGCTTTTTTCTTAATCGATGCTTTAACAAATACTTTAACTGCATGTAAGTCCCCTGTCTGAATGATTTAAATTTTTTGTTTCGACTTGTTTTGGATGGCATTTCTAGAGGAGGTTCAATGCACTTGCCATAGAAGGTTGAAGGAGATACGATGCTACAGAGGTGTTAGACATACTCAAGGATTGCCATGCAGAGGACAGAGGACTAACAACAATTGTAGGAACTTGAAGGGAAAGAGGGTTGCAATTCCCGGAAAGAATAAGTGTTAGACATAGGCAATACTTTGCTTTCATTTTCGAAAATTACTTGGTAATCGTCACATTAGGCCTGAGATCTATATTCTTTAGTAAAATTCAACTACTACAATGT